ACTCAAAGGCTCTGCAGACGGTTTAGGGTTTAGGGGTTTAGGGTTTATAAAGGGTTTAGGGGTTTATAAGAGTTTAGGTATAGTGTTTCGGTGTCCAGGTCTTGGGGGACATTTAGGATCGAAGATTTAACTCCACCAGACAAGGTCTCACGGTTCACAGGCACATTGACTGCACTGCACCTAGGTCGCAGTGATCACTTCTATATATACACCACAAGCACACTCAGGCAGTATCAGGATTGAGGATGTAGCGTTCAGAGTCGAGAGTTTCAAGTTTCAAGGCTACAAGAATATTACAAGAAATGCAACACAGATCATGCCACCGAATATGCTACTTTATAGTGGTGTATGAATGTGTGCCATACGACTCATATACAGTATATCCCTTAGGCTGAGTCCCAGGTCAGAGCACCGCAGCAGATTCTCGAAACTATAAGTAGTATATTGCTGTCTGAACCCAACCTTCTCAGGTGAAGCGAGGCACTGAAGGGATGATCGAGGGTTTCGGGCCAGCCCCCCAAAACAAGATCGTGACTACAGCTTCAGCTGTAACCCAACCTCAAGCAGTTCGAGTCAACTCACTTGTCAACCCGAGCAGCTGGTCCTGCACGCAGCTCCCAGTAGACTTTGTCGGTAGATCTCCGAACCCGAACATTGAACAAACTCCAGATGCCAAGCTCATAATTCGCTTAGGGAAGGCTGCTTGTGTGAGCCCCTTGATGTTGCCCCAGCCCCGCGACGGCATGGCTTGCCTTGACTGCATGGGCCCCTCGCGCGTGCATTCCAACCTGGCACCGTAAACCTTAAACCCAATAAAGGTGGCTCTCTAAATGAAGGTCCCTTTCACAAGTTCCCTTTGCAAGCCCGTCGCAATATCCTCTCGTTGGGAGGGAGAGAGCTAGAGAGAGAGAGAGAGACCAAAAATAGATGAGGTTTCTAGGTTATATATACGGTTTTTCGGAGGTTTAGGGTTTAAGGCTTCCTGCTTCTAGCCCTTACAATATATAATGTAGTATTTCTGGTTTTAAGGCTTAGGCTTTCGCTCAATTGGCGTTCTTCATGGGCTCTGGCAAGGAAACTCCCTGCGTGTCTTCAGGACCCATGACTAGGTACGTTACTTGGGTTTCGGCTACGACACTTACGTAAGTGTTCATCTATAGATGACTCAGAAACAGGATAGGAGCAGAGAGATTGTAATCTCTGCATCGACTCTTGCTGACGTTCAGCAACATGTCGTGAATGAGGTGTGCAGCCGCATGCGATGGGACGTCGTGGACATGTCGCCGAAGTCATCAGCGGTTCGCTGCCCAACAGTCATCGACATGTCTTTCTGAGTAACATAGGTACTCCACTTGATGAGTGATGAAATTTGGTGCTTTAAGCGAACACTATATGGCGCTGTGTTGGTTAGCCTTGGAATACATGCACCCATGTAGCATAGTTGATTCTGGCCTCTCCTCCCCTCCGACACAAAGGGATCCAGAGGGAAGTTTATGGGTTTCGGGTTTTGTGCCTATCTCCATCACATGAAAGTCTACATACAAACTTTACCTGCACCCAAGTGCCGACTCGTCTTTCTGAACTCACTGACCACTCAGGTCCGTGCCCCTGGATGCGATGTTGCCGCTGCTAGCGAGGCCGCAGCCCTGCAAAGGGTATTCCAGAATTTCATCAGACACTGCAACCCCACTTGTTGCAGACGATTGCTGCCGCACCATGCAGCGTCTCGAAAACAAACCCATGAATCTGCATTCATGCGGATTTAACTCCCATTGACAAGCCTCCATGGCACTTGCACTTGCAGTCTGCATCCATAGCACCCGGAAGGAAGCCTCAGGGGGTGTGTATACGGGTTTCGGCTTGAGGATTGAGTGAGGGACGGGGGCAATGATTGGAGTTCTGAAGTCTGCCTACCCGATGTGGGCTCTTCGGCTATAGCTCGACAGTTGTTTCAGGGTTTGGTAATGGAAATTAAGCCCAGCAGGCGATGTCAGAATGACATGGTTTGGGGAGTTCTGCCTACCTTATACTACATATATGGGCCGTAATGATTAGAATAGGGTTTTGGGGATTATTCTATACTACAAGGAGCCACCAAAGTAGTTTCGGTAATTATTAAGCTATTACCCCGAACCCCAAGCCACCAACCTGATGTCAGTGTTGCATGCTGAGAGCAGTCAAATGCGCAAAACAGATACTCATGCCATGTCCACACTGCAAGCAAAAACTCTGGCATGCACCGCCACAGTCCCCAAACCTTTAGGCCTTCGATCCTGTTATAAACTTGAAGTCCACAACCTCGAAATTGAAACACAAAAGCAGAACTCTGGGGTCAGGGCTTCTGGTCGTCCTCGGCGTCATCGTCTTCGTCGTCTCATCGTCGTCACCCTCCAGCTGCTCTCTGCAGCGTCGTCGCCACCCGGCACCGTCCCGGTGCACCAAGGGTCGGCCTCAGCGCCTCCCGGCGCACTCTCATGATCGAGGTCTTTTGAACCCGGCACCCTCCCGGTGCACTGCGGGTCCACCCAGGCGCCCTCCCGGCGCACTTTCAGGATTTCTCGACCCGGCACCATCCCGGTGCGCTGTGGGTCGGCCTCGGCGCCCTCCAGGCGCGCTTGAGGTCTTTGACACCCCGCACCATCCCGGTGCACTGAGGGTGTGCCCCAGCACCATCCCGGTGCATTTGCGGGGTCTTTAGCCTGCTGCCGTCCCGGCGCCGGCTGCAACATGTTCTGGCGCCATCCCGGCGCACGGGAGGTCGTGCACGAAGGCGCCGAAAAAAACCTGACATCCTGACAAGTCACAAACCTGAACGAGACAGGGGGGGGACGGGGGGGGGCCCTACCTGGAACTACCTGTGTAACCTGAGTATAGGACTCTCCTTACTTTATCTAGAAGCTTAAATCTTACACTATCACCAGCTCTTCTCGGGCAATAAGCATATTACCACTATCATATATAGGATCTATATTCCCATAAACACAAGAACCCCAATGCTCTGTCTAAAGCCTGCTATGCAACAACAAGTCCACATAATTAAGAGCCTATAGAGGTCACGGCAGCACACACCAAACAGGCATACCTGCATGCAAAAATACATGCATACGTAAGTACTTACTCATCTACTTACTTCCCCCATGTACTTACATACTGACCTGCTTATACCTCTATAGTTAGTTACATGCATACATATATGTGCATACAAACATGCATGCATGCACAACATGTAAAAGCACGCATACATGCATGTTTTCATGCGAAGCAAACATTTCGGAAACATGCAAACTTTTCCACGACATGGAAAACAATGGAAAACCATTCTAATCGAGCGGCAAAACTTGCTTTGATTCGATCGGAAAAATGTACATCGGGAAAACATCTTCTTCCGAAAACACATGCTTGGGATTTCTCAAGCTTGTATTGACGCAGTATGTTCGTAGTCTCTCTTTTGTATATTGTTTGTAACGTAGAGTGTTGCGACCAAAAAGCAGAACAGCAGAACAAACAGATTTCGATCAACCATGTAAATCATGTAAACCTACAAAAAAAAATTTCTACCGCGAGCATTTGCCCTATGCCAGTGCTTGGAATTCCAAATGTGCAGTTCTTGTTCTGTTTTCTTTTTTGCCCACACGCTTCTCTTTGTTTCTGCATACGTGCCGAACTTCCTTTGCAATTCCGGGCCCTCCTGTGCCATATCTATACCCATGCCTGCATCAAAACTACGGTCCCGCTAAGTCGACTTAGTCGACTTAGCCAAGTCACCGGCTATGTCGACATAGGGCTGGACGAATCCGCTGGCTAACTCACTTAGATAAGTCGACTTGCCCGACATACCCTATGCCGGCGATATCACTTAACATTCGTTTACTAACACACATGATACACTTAGCATATGTCACTTACATATGTCTGTGGACTTACTTCCTTTTTGTTTGCTAAGTCTGCTATCCGCTTACGACACTTACTAATCCTTTACTATTCAATTGCTGTGTCATGCATGTTACTTGCCACAGTTGTGCATCGACTTGTCTCACTTAATAAGTTGGGTTACAGGACTTGCTATCTCATGTTAACCCATATAGCCAAGTCGACGATATGGGCCAAGTGATTACTAACCCAATAGGGCCTCCAAGCACCGCCCACACCGCCCCCACCTCACCGCCCTCACCACCCCCAGCCACCCCGCCCCCCCCACCGTTTTCACTACCCCCACCATCTCCAACTGTCACCACCTCCATTCCCCACATGCATGCGTGAGTGCAACAACGACCCGCCAGACGAAGAAGGAAAACGACACCGTTGAGAACCCACACCAACTGCATCGCGAAAGCTGCCGAAAACAGCAGCGCCGCCGAAAACAGCGGCCAGAAAAGAACTGCCCGAACCCCCCCCCCCCCTCTACAGCCGCCGAAAACAGCAGCACTGCCGAAAACAGCAGCATTAAGTGAACGAAGTTGGAAGTTTGGAGTGGGGGTTTAAAGCGATGTGTTTGAGATCCGGCCGGCCTGCGCTCCTGGAGATGGCCACGTCGCGACCTCCTGTCAGAGCTGCCACACCATGCCGATGCACGCGACGTGACCTGGGTCTACTGCCGGCCTTGCGATGCGCCGCCGCGCGCGCGACTTTTTTGTCGCACCACCCCATGGCCACAACTGCACTGGTTCCGTATCTTAAGCAAAACGAATACTGCCGTCCTGCGAAACTCGGTTTTGTGCGGATGCCTTTTGCCTCTGAGTCACAAGGTTGCTGAAACATGCGCACACAATGTCCGAGAGCTGAGCACTGCGTCAGTCCGAATACTTCGCCGCATCAGTCATGTGCTCATGCTACTCGTGCCAGTTACAAGACTTGCAGTTGGCTGCTTTCAACACCTGCTGCCTTCCTTGGATAGTCACCTCTCTTCTTTTACCTACTTACTAAATCCCCCGACCCTCCAAGTAGAGACCCCTTTTAAGGGAACCCTTTAAAGGCAACCGCTACTTTCAACTTATGCCCGCCTGTCCAGGAAGGCTTCAGGCGACTCACGTAGAGAGCCGCCGCCACAGCGCTCCAGGGCCCACAGAGCAGACAGGGAGCTCCCAGGGACAGAGCCCGGCCTGATTGTTCTCCAAGAGGAAAAGCAGGGACCCTTAATGGGTCCCCTACCCCATCATGGGCTATATAATGGGTATATAATGGCCATATTAAGAGTGTATACGGCAAAAAAGGGGGCCTTTTAATAGTTAGAGTAGGGTTCCTTCAAAGGGGCTACTGCAGGGGATACTATGAGGGTAGGATTCCTTTTAAAGGGGGTCTATAGGGATTTAATCCCTATAAACTAATAATTTATTAGGAGGGTACTATAATATGGGGGGGCCTTGATAGTTAAAATAAGGTTCCTTTAAAGGGTCTACCGGGATACCATAAGGGTCTTTTTTCTCTAGGGGCCTTAATAGTTTGAATAGGGCTGTGGGGTATAGTAGACTATAATGATAGTAAGAAACTCGGCTAGAATAGGGTTTTGGGGTATAGTATACGATAATGATAGTAAGAAACTCCGTTAGAATAGGGTTTTGGGGTATAGTATACCCATAGGCCCCACAGTAGTTCCTTTTTGGGATTACACCTACTAGGATTCTATATATGAACCCCAAACAAGGAACTACTTTGGGGCCTCTGGGTACTGTAATCTTAAAACTCTTATGGACAGAACCCGGCCCGACGCTTCCGCTGCAACGCATGCAACGGCTCGAGCTGATCGATCGAAGGAGCTGCAGCTCTTGTCATCCTGGGATTTCAAGAATCCAGGGAGAATAAGTCTAGACTCCTATTTCATAAATGGTTCCTTTAAGGAAAAAAGTCTTAAAGTGTGGCACTCCAAAGCCCAGCATCTGTAACTCCCGCTTTTCCCTCCACGTCGAGGCTCCTCACTGGTGCCGAAGAAGGCATACGCACTTCGCATATGTTGAGGCCGGGGAGGAGTGGGCCCTGCTCCGGATCTGGATCGACGCTCTCTTCGATAATCCGCACCGCGGCCGCAATCTTCAGTGCTCGGGAGGCTTCTGAATTCTTCGGCATCAGGCAGACAAGCGATCCGAGGTACAGAGATCGATTCTTGGAGGATTTGGCACCCTTCACCACAGATGCCTGACCTGGTTCAACGACCTCTGCCGGACATACAGGCAGAGGCTCCAGCTGTTCTTTGCCAGCAGTTCGCATGCAAAAGGGAAACCGCCTCTGAAACTCGCCCACGCCTCCCAGAAGCAGCAAGGGGCGCTGGGATATGGGACGCACTTGAAGGTCATGCAGAAGTTCTAGGATCTCAAGCACCCTTTCATCCTTCAAAGGGTCCTCATGAGAGCCCATAATCACAAGCCATCTCAGATCACATCTCGATCTGATGGCGCCATGATTGCCTGCCTTGCTCAGTGTACCCACAGACCAAGCACCAAAAACGTGACTTCGATCGAAGAGGTCCCTTGACCGGACGTCCATAAAGAGGGCCGAGCCGGGAGCAATAAGCAGGCAGTAGCAATGTGAAGCTGGAACAAGGCTCACTCTCTGCACTTCTCCGGTCTTCAGCTGGACTTCTGCAGCTGCTGGACTCATGGTGCTTTCACTGATGGGGTCTGCCCCAAGCGCACAGCATGCTCCCATCTCTGGCGCTTTCTGGAGGGGCCGTTTGCCGAGCTACTTTCCGGCCACACTGCCACCACTAGCCTTGCTCTGCAGAATGGGGGCCTTACATGGGGACTCTGAGGGAATACCATTACCACGTGTTCCGACGCCTGTATTACCCTAAACCCTAAACCCTAAACCATTAACACAACCCTAAACCCTTACCACAACCCCAAACACTTAACACAACCCTAAACCCTCAACACAACGCTAAACCCTTAACCTAAAACTTGAACCCGACCCTGATCTGTGGAGCTGAGGAGATGGCTGCAGGGTGCCAGGCTCCAGACGTCTGCTTCTGTGTTCTCTCAGGGCCTTTAGGGTTTAGGGTTTAGGGGTACAGGTAGCAATACCAAGAAGGATAAGATGAATTCCGCATATGATGAGGAGGAAGAAACCGAAAGATTGACATGAGCAGCACGAACCGAAGTACTAACTCATGCAACAGCCACAAACCCAGCATCATCAGCATTGCTTGCAACAACAACCGCGAGCACGAGCACGAGCACGAGCACGACAACGACCACGACAACAACCACGGCGACAGCGACAAAGACCACGACCACGACTGCGACAACGACAACACTACAACGACAACGACGACAACGACGACAACGACGACAGCGACAACGACGACATACAGCGACAACGATATCGACATCGACAACGACAACGGCGACACCGACGACAACGGCGACAACGATGCCGACAGCGACGACCACAAGAACAACAGTAACAACGACCACAAGAACAGCAGCAACAACAATACCAACACCAACAGCGACTCCAAAGCCAACACCAAGTATTACTATTGCCACTACCACTACCACTGCCAGTACCACTACCACTAGCACTAGCACGCACGAGCACCAGCACCAGCACGAGCACTAGCACTACTGCTGGCACTACTACTGGCACTACTACTACTGCTACCACCACCACCACCACCGCTACCACTACCACTACCACTACCAGTACCACTACCACTAGCACTAGCACGCACGAGCACCAGCACCAGCACCAGCACTAGCACTACTACTGGCACTACTACTGGCACTGCTACTACTGCTACCACCACCACCACCACCACCACCACCGCTACCACCACCGCTACCACTACCACTACCACTACCACTACCACTACCACTACCACTACCACTACCACTACCACTACCACTACCACTACCACTACCACTACCACTACCACTACCACTAGCACTAGCACTAGCACTAGCACTAGCACTAGCACTAGCACTAGCACTACCACTACCACTACCACTACCACTATAATACTACTACTACTACTACTACTACTACTACTACTACTACTACTACTACTACTACTACTACTACTACTACTACTACTACTACGATGCCTGCGCCTGTGCCTGCGACTGCGAATGCGACTGCGACCACAAGCATACTCACGACATCAGCGGTAAAACGAAGCAGATGGCATGAAGGACTGTAAGACTGTGGAGGACAAGAGAAAAGAAGAAACGTATGGATCCTAGGTCGCTCTTTTCTGACTCCCCACTGCCGTCTTCCAGGCCTAGCTCTTGGGAGGTGAAGGCGCGACGGATTTCATCGGCGTTTCCAAGCAGGTGCAGGTGACTCCGTTGCACTCCAATCTCATCCCCATTCGCATTCACGATGCTGACTCGCACCTCATCCGAAGGAGTGCCATCAGCTTGCGGAGTGGCTTGGACTACAACATGGACTTCCTCTCCATCCACGATGCCAGCCGGGAGCTTCGCAGTGAGAACTGATCGTTTCTGAGGCCTTCGAAGGCCCAGCAGACCTTCCGCAAACACGACGATCTCCACCAAAAGCTTCGAAAGCTCCTGGCCACTTGTCTCCGGCACACGCAAGATGGCCTCCTTCAGCTCCTTCAGAGGGTTTTGGGGGTGCCTGATGACAATTATAGTATACTGGGCCCGGAAACCCTATTCTAATTAAGGCGCCTATTCCTATAGACCCCTGTAAGGATCCCCTTTAAGCAATCCCGTTCTATTTTAAGTATTCCAGCTCCTTCAGATCGAGATCCGAAGGGCTTCCGGGGAGCTCGCTGCGAGCCAAACTGGGCAGTCCCTGCTGGTGCCGCCAGCGATGCCAGCGGAGTAGAAGAGCATCCAGGGCGTCGAGGTTCAGCTGCCTGGGAACTACAGGGCTTCTATAAGGGTTCTACAAGGGTTCTATAAGGGTTCTATAAGGCTTCTATAAGGGTGCTATAAGGGTGCTATAAGGCTTCTATAAGGGTTCTATAAGGCTTCTATAAGGCTTCTATAAGGGTTCTACAAAGCTTCTATAACGGATCTATGAGGGTTCTATAAGGGTTTAGGGGTTGAGGGATTTAATTTAAGTTGCCATAATAGGGATCTATAGTAGACATTGTTTTTTTCCTTATGATGGTAGCTGAAATGAAGTCTCTTAAAAAGAACCCAGCTGCCGCCACAAAGAGTCGGTCACTTGAGCAGGCGTTTGCGTTTGCCCATCAGCTCCCATCTCGACTTCCTCTACCATCCGAAGGGCCAGCAACAGTAGGTCCTCGTTTAGGTCCGTCCACTGCAGCCCATCGGCGAAGTCTGTCTCCACTAGCTGATCCTTCGCGCACCAGGATCTAGATTCTAATCTAGATGGATCAGCACAGAGACAGAGATTGGAATCGCCACCATGGGTGTGGGTAGTTCTGCATTAAATCCTGTCCTTCCCAGATGGATATGGGTGGGTTTTCATGTGGGTCTGCGTGGATGGAGTTCAATCATCCTCGGCGTGGCCTCGTGCAAAACGGCGGCAATTACGAGCCGATCTCCATCACCGCTCCAAGGATCTCAACGACAAACAGTACCACGCAGTGCAGGTGTCACGTGTGCTCAGGTGACAATATGCAGCATGCATAGTGCGAACACAACACAACAACACCTGCTGCTTGTAGCCTCGAAACTCTAAACCCCGCATGGCCCCCATGTGGAGTCCTCTACGAGCGCGGCAAGGACGGAGGCATTGCGCTGGAACGCCTTAGTGCGTGCGAAGACAAAGCTGTGATCGGCGATCAAAGCATTACAGAAACGCGCAAAGAAAGGCAAGCTCTTGGCAATTTTTTGTGGTTCCAGCAGAACTCGTCTCTCTAAGACAGGAACACCTTCAAGCCGTTGCAGGGAGACACTGCAAGAATGCCTTCACTGATTGCTGGAGCGGCCTGGAATGCATTCCCGGTGTCATACGTTGTGACCTCACCACTGGCTGGATCAAACTTTCCGTCCCCATCCTTGTCGAGAAGGCGGTAGACGGTGCCGGACATCCCGGCCAAAAAGACAGCACCGTCTCCAGCGATGGAAGGGTTTGCCTGGGTTCTTGTTGAGGAGCTTAACTTAGAAGCTGCCCCCACCCTGTAATAGTGACCATAAGGATTATATTAGGGCCCTATTATATTCCTATTATGTTCCTATTATACCACTATTACTTGGTGGGGGCCCCTCCTAAAGCTTAACTATATAATCAAGGTTACCCTCATGGGATTTATAGTAAATAGTATGACGTCCTGATTACGGTAACCTAAACCTCACACCCTAAACCATTAACGGAATCCTTATAGATTCCATAGATCCCTATTGTGGTAACTTAAACTAAACACCTTACCAAGAGCCTAGTTGCATAGGAGTCTGGCAAGCAGGAATGATCGGCCGTGTCACCGGCTGCTGCCCCGTGCCAGTCGGGGAATTGGTATTCCCAGATGGTATGGCCTGGGTCGAGAAAGAGGGTATCCTGTCTGGGGCTACATCAAAATAATTACAGAGAGGTTTAAACAAGATCCCGAAGATTGGCTAAGTGGCCATCTTTTGCATCCATTGCAACCGCCTTGGAGGGATGACGCTGCGTTCCGCTGGTATCATTCTTATCAAAAGGGTCCAGGTCCAACGTGGCACCCATCGGCAAAGCCAGGCCAGGGTTCGTCCCAATGGCGATGACGACAAAGGGCGTGTCCCCACCTGTGGCAACTGCTGGGCCAGAGTTCGCTGGGAATTTTGGAAAGCTGCGTTGCCAGACCGGTTTGCCTTCTGCCGCGGTGTACACGGAGAGTAGCCCCACGTGTCCGTCGGGGCTGTCCACATTGCTCGTGACGTAAACGAGGCCGTTGGTGGCACCCGACAAGCCCCCAGTGGTCTGGACAGCGGCAGCGGGAGCAGGCACCTTCCAGACAACAGACCCGTCATTGAGGTTCAGGCGATAGACGCCCCCATTCATGTCAGAGAAGAGAACGGCTCCATACTGAATCGATCCGATCCAGTTGTACAAGCCACTGTCTGGGCGGTACTTCCACATGACCTGCCCATCCGTGGCATTGCAAGCGACAATCATTGTGGCTGAGCCAAACATCTGGTTCTCGGCCTTGTTCAAGCACGAGGCAAGCACGACCCCCTCGCCTGCAACGATCGTGTGGGTGTCACCACTTGCCATTTCGCAGGCAAGCGTCTGCCACAGCTTCTTCCCATCCTAGGATACCCAGTAACCTAAGAATAAACAGGCCTCTCTTTTTGGTATTGGGTAACTTTATAAGGAACCTAGGACTACAGAAAGGGAATAGGGGTACTACTGGGCATCCTAGCATCATTGGCATCCACAGCGAGCATCTGACCATCAGTCCCAAAGTTATAGAGGACGCCTCCTACTTTCACCGGATTGCCAGGGAAGGAGGCATTTCCTGTGCTGATGGCCCAGAGAACCTCGCCCGTCTGCGAGAACTTAACCATCTGCCCCGCAATCGTCGACTGGTAGATGGAGCCCTTGGAGTCCTGAGTTTTTGTTAAGGAATCTACTTGAGGTTACCATAAAAGGGATCTATAAGGGTTCCTTCGGGACTTCAGAGTTTAAGGTTGAAGCTACTACCACAAAACCAAAGTAGTTACGATAGATCTTATTATTGCAACTTAAACTAAGTTCCATAACACGAACCCAGAATCCACCACGGGTGAGCCCCGGACAAGGCCACCGAAGGGAGCTTCCCATGTCCAAGTAGGACCTTTTGAAAGGTCCACAGGAGGGACAGCCCATGTGGATCCTGATCTGATAAGATTCCCACCTTTCCCGATCCACTCCGAGTGGTCTTGCGCATTCTTGGCCTCCATCTTGTACTGCAGGAGCTGAAAATGGAAGCTAGGATCGGCTTCGCAGCCCAAAATCGAACAGTCATGCTGCTGAGAGGTAACAGGCAGCACGACCACAGCGGCCAAAGCGAAAAGCGCCATGGCCACTAGAAAATGAAAGGGTTCGCTTTAGCGTCTGAGCCGAAGACTCGTCGACTCACTCTGCCGCTCACTTGGAGGTTCATGGGTAGTTATAAGTGGGGTTATAAGTCCTCTAATACAGCAATAGGAGTTATAGTTATACTTATCCTACTTATAATCCTACAGTCCCCTGATACAGTAATAGGAGTTATAATTATAGCCATCCTACTTATAATTATAACTGCACACGCATCCCGAGGTGACAGAGAATCGGTCGCAGACACCTTCGGATGCTCGGGGCCGGGCTATGGCCAACTCCACAAACTCCTTGCGAAGTGCAAACGGTCTGGGCATGTCTGGGCTGCACCCACGGAGAGAGAGAGAGAGCGAGAGAGAGAGAGAGAGAGATAGAGATATATAGAGAGAGAGAGAGACAGAGAGACAGAGAGAGATAGAGAGAGAGAGATAGAGAGATAGAGAGATAGAGAGATAGAGAGAGAGAGAGAGAGAGAGACAGAGAGAGAGAGAGAGACATTGTCAAGTTCTTCCGCACGGGAACTGGCCTGGGGTAGGATGGCTGTATCGAGAACTTCCTCGAGGTCTGCGGGCATGCGGATGGGCTCCGGTCCCTCGGAGGCTCTGGGAGTCGAAACGTCGCCAGCTCCGGCTTCTGCCTGCAACTCCAGCTCGGATAAGAGTGCCTCCTCTTCAGCATCAAGTTCCTGGGATCTTGTAAATTACAGTCCTTAATAATCTTCATAAGGACCCTTATAGTTTATAGAAACCTTTAAAAAGTGAACCCTCAACTATGGTAACTTACACTGAAGTCCCTAACAAGAGCCCAGGTTCCGCCGAGTTTTGGGGGTCCATGAGGCCGGGAAGAGGCGCGTCCCGGGAGGACGCTTGCGGATGCTCAAAGACCCCTGGGCGCAGTGACAGGCGATGGGAAGCCACGTCGTTCAAATGCCAAACCGGAGCTGTCTCCACCTGGGTTCTTCTTAAGGAACTTAGGGGTTTTCGGGTTTAGTAGTGGCGGCTTAAAATCATTTCCTTAACAGGAACCCAGCCACATCTGCCGGAATGCGGAACTCGATCTCGTCCCAGCCATAGGCATGCCAGCCTTCCCGCAAGGTCACATACAGCGGCATCTCACTTTGGGAATCAGGCAGCTGGTCGTTGAAGACCGCATCCAAGTCAAAGCCAAAGGTAAGCTGTATAGCACCCACCAGTATGCATTCCTGGAAGACGAGCTCGTCCACGACATCCGTGGAGGTCAAGGCAAAGAAAGCCACACCGTTTACAAAAGTGTGGAGATCCCAACTTGGAACTACTTCCTGGAAAACTTCCACCCCCTTGAGGCGTCCCTTTACCACCAAGGGCATGCCGAAGGGCACCCTGCAGGAACGGGGCCGGCGCAGGTCCACGGACTGTAGGCCGACGGGTCTGCCGAAGCGGATGCGGCCGACCCCCGCCACAAGTCTGGCCACGAAGCGATGGCGCTTGACGGCCTCGGGCCCGAGATGAAACTCCGGCCACGCCCTCAAACCCTAGAAACCCCAAAACCCTCCCATCCTAAACTTCTCCAGCACCCTTGAAGTGACGCGTTCAGGGACCCCCCACCCGAAACCCACTCAACTTTGGTATCGAAGCTGGCGAGGGGCATCGTTCTCGAATTCGTCGTTCTCTACCAGGCTCCAGGGCCCCTGCAAGCGGAGGCGCAAGTCAATCGTAATGCGCAACTTGAGGGTTTTAAAATTTTGGGTTGTAGGGTTGAGGGTTTTGGGGTTCGGGATTTCATTCTTTTTGAAAAAAGGTTTCGGGATTCAGGGTTTAGGGTTCAGGATTCACGGTTTAGGGTTCAGGGCTTAGGCTTTAGGGGCCCGCCTCCCACTTGACCTGGAAAGGCACGCCGCCTGACAGGCTAGCGTTGCTGGATGTGCTCCTACGTTTTGGATTTGAATTACTATAGGGGACTTAGTAAATAGAATATGGGACTATAGGGACCTTATGGCAATTAGAATAAGGATGTGGGGTATATTGTACCATAACTATGATAAGGAGCCACACGGAAAATAGGTAGTTATGAAGGCCCCTATATTACACTCCCATGGAGGTGTGGAGCCAACGAGTGGGTACCCTGTTGACTGGCATTACAAGGGCCCAGAGGTTGGTTTTACTCACAAAATACTGCCACAGTTTGTGATCTCTGCCTTAGAAGCTGCCTCCACCCTGCAATAGTGACTATAAGGATTATATTAGGGCCCCAGTATATTCCTATTATACCACTATTACAGGGTGGGGGCCCCTTCTAATCTCTGCCACACGAAGCTTCTCAAACCTGCTTGCAGCTTGTCTACACAGAGACTGGAAAGGCCCATCCCCCATCAGAAATGATCTACTATAGGAACCTTAATAATCATTGTAGGGTTTTGGTGTATGTTATGCTATAATTATACCAAGGAGCCCCCAAACATAGTCTAGGCAATGTTGTTAAGGCCTCTATATGGGAGTTTCCGAAATTAGGGGACCCGAATATAAGAACCTAAACAGTAGGATCCTTATTATAGGACCCAAAAACGTACCCCCTATTGTCGGAAACTCTAAACCCTTTAGAGCCCTTTAAATAAACCCGTATAGTACCCTGACAGTAACCCTTTAAAGGTAACCCTAATTTACTCCTATATGGGTGGTTGTCAAAATTAGTGTCCCTTTTTGGGTACCCTAAATGATAAGTGCCATACTATAATAGGGACCCAAAAAGGGACCCTAATTTTGACAACCACCCATGTTAGACTCCCGGGCAGAAGCGGCCCTAGGGGGCCTCCCAGGCGCCGGGTCCCCGCGAAGTCCTGGGGCAGCCCTGCCTGCAGCAGGAGATCCACACCTAGACTTCCTGGAGTTTACATAGGGTTTGGGGCTCAGGGGTTCAGGGGTTCAGGGGTAGGGGTTTAGGGTTTAGGGTTTAGGGTTCTTTGGGGTTTTAGAAACCCCTGAAATGGTATTAGAGGTTTAGAACTTTGGGTTTAGGGTCTGGGGGTTTGGGGCTTCGAGGTCTTTAAACCCTATAAACCCTGAACCTATCTAATCCTACCCCCATCTGTAACCTTAACTAGACCCTCAACCCGAAACCCTCAACCCATCTATAGCCTTAGCTAGACCCTAAGCCGTAATTTAGGGGCCTTAAGAATTAGAATAGGGTTTCGGGCTATATTCTACTATAATCATAATAAGGAACCCCAGAATAGTTTTGGTAATTGGTTAAGCCCCTATAATAATCCCTACATGGAGAGGTTCATGGGTAGTTATAAGTGGGTTATAAGTCCCCTACTATGGGTTATAAGTATAGTTACCCTACTTATAACCCTACTTACAACTACCCATGAACCTCCAAGTAGGCCCTAAACCCTATACCCTTATCGAATCCCTATAGATCCCTTTAAAGGGACCCTGAAAGGAGCCCTACTTATAACTACCCATGAACCTCCAAGTAAGATGCCCCAAATCCCTAAACCCTAAACCCCTAAACCCTAAACCCGAATGCCTCAATCCCAAAGATGTCCCAAACTTCTTGTCGAAGTCCCAGCCTGCCAGGGCCGTAATCCTCGAAAGGTCAGCAGCGCCGAGCGTCCGCCGGGTTTTCCGGCCGACGCCTGCAGAGCAGCCCCGTTTATGGAAGCGAAGACGGAAGATGATATAAATCCTGCATTACTCATAATAATAAGGGATATACCATGATTCCCATAGTTTAGGGTCAATAAGGTATTGCAGGATTTCTATCATCAGCCGTATCACGCGTTTAGGGTTTAGGGCTGGGGTTGGGGGTAGGGTGTCTAAGCTGTCTGGAGGCTGCCGGGGTGTTGGGTTGATTTCCAGAAGCTGCTCAGAGAACTCCGACTTGCGACCGCGACAACACTTACGATCACCATTCTTTCTGCCTAGTGCCAGGATTCGGCACGATTTTTCCAACCATTTTGCCTTCTGTCTCTACCAAACCCAAAACCCTTGTAAAAGCTCCTTACACACCCTTTCGAAGGAACCCTGAAAGGCCGCCCTAAAGATCCTTACAGGAACCCAAATAGATACCTTAAAGGAGCCCTTGTAGATCTGATGAAGGCACTATAGTAAACCCCAGAAAGTTGGAAGCCGGATTAAGGCCAAATCGTGCTGGCAGTCCCCATACATTACTCTTAAGGAATAAGGCTATGGGGTTTCCAACTTTCAGGCATCTGAAACTTCAGGTCGCCTGCTTTGGGCGCTGTGACTCCGTCGATGCCGCCTGGGACGAAAGCGTCGGCTATGCACTTGGATGGTGGGACCAGGTTTAGGGTTTAGGAGTTTAAGGGTTTTACACCCCAAATTGAAAGTTTAAGCGTTTAGGGTTTAGGTTTTGGGTTTCGGGTTTAGGAGTTTAGGGGTTGCAAACCCCTAAAGTAGGCGGTCAGGGATTTTGGGGTTTGGGTTTCGGGTTTGAGCAGGGCTCGGTGTGCGTAGACTCGTGACTTTGCACTGTGTCTTGTGAATACCATCAGCCGACGACTCGTGGTCGTAATATAGGGGCCTTAACCATGAGAATTATTTTATTTATGTTATTTATTTTATTTATTTTTTATTTTTGGGGGGGTGTGTGATAGAAAAATCCAAATATGGATTCCGACATCAAAGTAGTATAGGCAATTAAGGCCCCTATAGTATGCCCATCATCATCATCGTCGTCATCATCATCCCGTTCAGGACCGTCATCACCATCATCCCAGCCTTCATCGTCCTTCTCCTGCAAACGACTGCGAAACTGCTGAAGCTGCTTCCATGGTTCTTCACAGTACCACCTCCTGCATTGCTTGATTCAAAAGTTAACCTTATTTGCTTATATAGGGGGTTGTCCCAACAAGATGAAAAGAGGTTACCTTCTAATTTACTCAGATAGAATCCAAAGGAGCACCCTGGCGAGCCTCGGAGTGGCGGTTCTTGCTTGCCGCCTTTAGACTGGCCCCAAGAAAATACCTCAACAGATCGCCATGCAATGCAGAAACGCAGAATCACACCTTCCGACGTCCACTCAATGTCGGCAGTCTCAGAGTCACCCTAAACCCTAAACCCTAGTCACTGAGGTAAAGGCTCATCCAGCATCTCGCCGCCATCTGCTGTCCCAAGCAGTCTCGCCGAAAAGATTCCATCCTTGCCGCAGGGTTCCCGTTCCCAGAGTGTAACTAGTATCCAAGGGTAAAAGAAGGAACCCTTAATAAGGACCCCTAGGTATATACCCTTAATATAGCCGTTATATACCCATTATATAGAGCCCATTATAGGGGCCCAGGGTCCCCATGAAGGGTAGTATCGCAAGGAAGTGCTGACGCACAAAGCGCGCCTAGCAGCAGCTTCAGCAGACTAAGCTCAAGGCGGTGACCAGCGCCGACCTGCTCTTTCGGACTCATTGCCATAAACTTGCAAAGCAAAATACGGGCCTGGATAGTGGCTCCTTTTTTTTTGAGGGGGGGGGGGTTCCAGTAGTATCTATTTATCTATTTATCTATCTCTCTCTCTCTCTCTCTCTCTCTCTCTCTCTCTCTATATATATATACTTATGTATTATTATATCCCCAAAACCTTATTCTAATTAGTTTGCAGGCCAGCAGGTCAGGGCAGGGCCTGTCGGAGGCTGCATCCACCGAATCCGCAGCCTCGGCCAGCAGTGCACCAACTTAAGTTTCCAAATATACACCTACATTTTAGGGTTTAGGGTTTAGGGTTTAGGGTTTAGGGTTTAGGGTGGGTACGGCCTCCACTCAGTAATAGTTGAATAATGTTCATACTATAGATATAGTAGGACCTTAATAGTAGCCCTATTATAGACTCTTACTCTATGGGGGCAGTACCTAACCTATATATGCAATTTTCATAATGGTAATAATGGTAATTATCATCATCATGATAATCATCAACGTCATCATAACAACAATAATACCAATAAAAAACAATAACAATAATAGTAAGAAGAATAATAATAGTAATAATAATAACAATAACAATAACAATAACAATAATAATAATAATATCAATAATAGTAATAAAAATAAGAATAAGAATAAGAATAAGAATAAGAATAATAAGAAGAAGAAGAATAAGAATAATAATAATAATAACAATAATATTAACACCAACATATGCACATACACATACATACACATATGCATATGCATATGCATGTACATATACATATGCATATACAAACACATATACAAATACATATACATATACTTGTTTTGCATTATACATATATATATATATACACACACACATATATAATACGTAGGCATATAGTATTCACAGGCCCCAGCGAGGCCGCCCCGCGGGCCACGGCAGTGCGGCCCGTCCACGGCCTCAGTGGTGGAAGCCGATTCAAGGGGGGTTTAGGGCTGAGGGTTCAGCGTTTAGGTTTGACGTTCGGAGTTTAGGGGTAAGGGCTTGGGGTTTCGGGTTGAGGGTTCAGAACAGAACCCCTGGTTCAGGGTCTAGGGTAAGTTTCTCAGGGACGCATCAAGGTGGCGCCCTGCTAGTAGGGTGCTGGCTGAATCACATCTGGCCGCCGACGCTTTGTGCACCAATGTGTCTGCCTCGGAAGTCGTATAGAGTTCACGGTTTGTGAGTTAGGGTCAGGGTGTGTGTGCATATATGTACACACGTATTGTGGAGATGCATGTAAAACACTCTGTACACTGTACACACACCTACATGCATAAGTACATACATACATGCATACATACCCGTTTTGTACTTACATGTGAATGTGTATGCAACAAATACATACATATATATATATATATATATATATATATATATATATGTATGCACACACATATGTATGCATATATATATATATATATATATATATGTATATATATATATATACATATATAAATTGTTCATCTATCTGACTACTCATTCTCTCGTTCATTCATTTATTCATTCATGCATTATTTCCGCTAACCTATCAGGGTTACGATAAGGGTTGATTAAATACCTTAATAATTGGAATCGGGCTTGGGCGCCCAGTATACCATAATCAGAATATGGAGCCCACAAAATATCATAGGGATTTACTAAGGCCCCCACAATATACACCCGGTTCCTCAAACGGAGCACCGCATCTTCCAGGACCTGCGGACACACAAAGCCCACTCTCGCAGAAAGAGGGCAGAGGGGAATGAGACGAAGATGACGGTCATGCCAAAGCCCCTGGGTGGTTGTCAAAAGTATGGTCGCTTTTGGGGTACCCTAAGTATTAGGTGCCGTACTATATTAGGGACCCAAAAAGGGACCATAATTTTGACAACTAACCCTAAACCTTAAACCCTTACCCCCCTCCATGCCTGGTCGATGTTCAAAGCTTGGTGCGTGGGCCCTGTCAATGAGCCACGCAGTGGAACACTTTCCGCAGAATCCGAGCACCAAGTGGGTGGTTGTCAAAATTAGGGTCCCTTTTTGGGTGCCGTATTATAATACCTTAAGCTACTAGAACCGACTTTTTTGTAGGTTCCAAAGAAAACCCCAATATGGAATTTAAGGGACCCTACTTTTTGTAGGTTTTGGTAGGTTAAGGTAGGGACCCAAAACGGGGACCCTAATTTTGAGCATGGTGCTACAGCGGTCTGCACGCATGGATTTGGGAGGGAATCGAAGCACGAGGCCCGCGCGCACCAGGCAAAGAGCGAGGAGGCAGCGAAACAGCCGCCCCCAGAAATGCCTTTGCAAACAGGCCCTAGACTCTAAACCCTGCACCCTAAACCCTGAACCCTAAACCCTAAGAGCAGGACTGCAATCCGAAGCTTTGGACCCCTGGCCGCCTTCGCGCCGTCCAACGGCCAACATGGAGGGCTTCCATGGCCACATCCGCTGGATTCTGACATTCCAGCTTACAGCTCGCAAGAAAGGCTGAACACTTGCACCTTTGAATGGCATCGTATGCGAACTTACTGCTTTTCGTGCTAAGGCACATCTGTGCAAGTTCGAACCCGAAGCCAGGCTGTCGATGGTCCGAAGAAAGAGCAATAGAACAAGATGGCTTCCCAGCCAGTCTCTCATGCAGACTCATGCAGCATGGGCCCGTTTCGCCAATTTCCGTCGGAGACCAGGCAATGAAGCAGATGCTCACGCATGCCCGGCCAAGATTCCTATATCCTACGTTCCTAATCTCCTACGTGGGCACTAGATAAACGGATACACGTCACACGTTCACTGCTGGCTCACATCAGCGGCAGCTTGTTCCTGGGAGAAAAACGCTTTCACCCTTAACCCCAAACCCTAAACCCCTAAACCCCAAACCCCTATAACCCTAAACCCTGAACCCTAAACCCTATACCCTAAACCCTCGCCCTGAACCCCAAACCCTAAACTGGTAGATTTGGTGCCACACCTCTTGGCGAAGCCGAAGACTTGCAGCTGGAACCTCGTGAGAACTGGAGAAGCTCAGATGATATATGGCAATATATATATATATATACACACACGTATATACGTAATATATGATGTATAATATTGTATAATGATATACATAATATATACGAAGATATACAACTGATATACGATTTATGATATGTAATGCATGTCTTACATATAATATCATACATAGTCTACAATGTGTTGTGCGCCCCGGTTCGTGACATCGCAGGAGTCCCTCGTTGCCCCATCACATACATGCAGCCAGGCTTCGCCGTGTTGGTGCAAATTCGTCCGCGGCGTTCCTGCTTGCGTCCAGCCAACACGCAGCAGAAAGAAGACACGTACGCTTCGGAGCATCAACTCGCTCATTCCCTATGCTATGCCGACATCGTCGGCCAAGTTACACATTACCGTCTCTGTAGCTCGCATGTTGTCACTACAATCTTCACCCATGCTACAGGGTTCCTTCAAAAATTGGAGTCGCAAGTTGAGTTGATGAGTTGGGTAAACGCAACTCAGGAAACCGTCATCACGTTCGTCGTCTTCGTGACGTCGTACGTCATCGTCGTCGCCGTCATCGTGATCGTGGTACTGGCCGTTGTAGTGGTCGAACTCGTCTTTTCACAACTGCTGTCATCGTTGTAGCCTGTTGTAGCAGCACCAGCAATAATAGCCATCACAATCCGAAGAAGAATAGTGGTGGTGGTGGTGGTGGTGGTAGTGGTAGTTATACTGGCAGCGGTAGTAGTAGTGGTAGTGACACCGGAGGCACTAATGAGTAGTATCATCCCCTTACAGCTCCTAATTACGTACTTCTCGCAACTACCCTACACCCCAAAATCCTTTTCTAATTAGACACTAAGCCCTCAACTATTCCCTAAATCCGAAACCCGAAAGCAGCCGACCTTGCAATGCCGCGCGCTTTCCAGTAGAGGCATTCCAGAGTTTGCCTTTGACGATTGCTTCGTGCGTCTGCGGAATTTTTTTTTTGCGGCTCGTATGTGATATGACAGTTGTGCAAAGCAAGGCTTTGTCTAATAGCGTACAATCTAATATAGCATGGTATATTCTCTTGCCTTTGTCTTATCGTATATTGATTGTAAAGGGGGGATGGGGTCGTGTCCGACTATTTCTGTTTTGGATGTGCGGCTTGGGATGTAGGGTCCAATTAATGTTTCTGTAATGCTTCTGGTTCATGTTACGACTTTTGGGATCCGTGTTAGAACCCCTACTCTGTTGGGACAGGCAGCTTAGGCTGCACGAGCACTTCGGCTAAAGCTTCTCAGTCTCAGACCTCAAACCCCTAAACTAAAACCTTACGGCTCAGATGTCCCAATCGGCTGAGCCCCTCTGTGGCTTAGGGTTTTCATACCCCTGAACCCAAAAAGCCTAAACCCTAAATCCTTGGTCCTAAGGGGCGCTCTGACCGATCTGAACCCCACAATTCCAGCGTCGTGGCTGCAGAAAGCACTTGGAGGTTCATGGGTAGTTATAAGTCGGGTTATAAGTCCCCTAATATGGGTTACAAGTATAATTACCCTATACTTATAAGCAGACTTATAACTACCCATGAACCTCTCGTTCCAGGCGACGTGAAGCGTTTCGAGGGACTTGTTAGGGGTGGGTAACCACCACCACCACCCTGCTCGAGAACAGAACCCCATATTTGCCTTCTACGGTGGCGCAAAGCAAGCGATATGATCCTTAAGGACAATCCCGCTTAAATGGAAAGCAAACAGAAGCAACCGCAACAATGCCAACAATCCTAACCTTCACAGTCGAACGCCCCAACCCCCAAGCCCCCATTCTAACACCCAAAGGGAGCCCCCGATCGAAACCTTGCTGGTTTCGGGCTATATTCTACTATAATCCCAATAAGGAACCCCCAGAATAGTAATGGTAATTGGTTATAAGCCCTTGTAGTAATCCCTACTTGGAGGTTCATGGGTAGCTACAAGTGGGGTTACAAGTCCCCTAATATGGGTTATAAGTATAGTTACCTTACCTATAACCCTACTTATAACTACCCATGAACCTCCAAGTAGCAAAGATCGGCGAACCCCTGAAATACGCTAAGTGAAAGGTATACGGCTCGGAATTCAAACAGGGATATTCTGTATAATATACCGCCCCGAAGCCCTATTCCAAATGCTCGACACCCCTAAACCCTAAACCGTTCAAAGTCCTGTCCCCAATAGGTCGGAATCATGCCAGGCTGGCCACATGGTATGCTAAACAGAGCGTGCCAGACCGATTCACACCGGCCTCTCAGTGGTGCTACCCAGAAACTCCAATATCCCTTAATTAAGGAATATACCTGAAATTATGGTAGGATCCCTAGTATGATTGAAGGTATATATTGGAGTCTCTGGGTAGGGTCCAGGCACTCTACGGCTTAGGGCGACTAGGGTTTTGGGCTCAGGGCTTAGGGTTTAGGGTTCATGGTTTAGGGTTTCGGGCTTAAGGCTTCAGGGTTCTTCATTCTGGGGTTCTACTTATTAGAGTTTTGGATTTAGAGTTCTTCATTATGGGATCCTATAGTTGCATGCTACTGCCCTTCAGGGGGTTTTCTGTAGCAAGGCCCTCTGCAAAAAGATTGCGCTTGCCGGATGGCCTAAACGAGCGATAATGGGGAGCATGCTCGCTTATTTTTGGAAGCTTCAATTTGCCACTTTCGGACTACAAGATAGTGGTATGCTGCTGAATACAATCATGTATGTTCCTTGTCTGTTTGTGCGAACCAACTTGGCCAAAGAGTATTCTGCAATGTTGTATTGCTTTCATGTAGTGTGGTGAAGTTGCATGCCATGGTCTGTAGTTCTCCATGTAGATGGAACCGTGTTGTATCTATGCCGTGATACACTATGGCTTGACAATCCGGCTTGACTTCGCATGTCTTCCATCGAACTAGCGATGGTCGCTGTCGGCATTGGGCACGCCTCGCAGTGAATGAACAGCCGGCCGTGTGTAGACGCGACTTCCTGCATGCATGAAACAAGGCTTCGCCACAGCACCACGCTCCTTGGACTGTGAAACCCCTTGAACTGCGGATTGACGCTGGATCCGGGCCACAGACATTTGCCAGAGTCGCTAGCAGGTCGTAGTGCTGCATGATGTTGTAGCCCTGCACAGCAGCTTCCAGGCGAGGAAGCAAACGGACGAGCCTAAACCCTGAGCCAGCAAGGCCTGCTCATCCTGCGCCACGAACTCCGTGTACTTGATACCGACAGGACTCGGAAGCAAAGCCAGGAAGCAGAGCAAAGTTCATGAACATGTCGTCCGTGCTCTGGCAGTGCTGGTAGCAATTGAAAACAGGACTCCTGCTGCTTTTTTGCGCGAACAACCATCATAACTACGACGAGCACTATACAATTACAGCATCCATCTCAAAGCTTGCACGCAGTACGGAGAGCGCCATCCGCGAGCATTTGATACTACCCCCTAACTGCAAGTCTTACTGAATTGCCGTTTCTGCTTGAAACACTTAAAAGTTGCAACGACTCCTGACTCTCCCCAATGGTCCATGTACCCACATAGTATATACTTTGACCCCACTGTACCTAAATAGGGAGTACTCTAAGGCCAGTGTATAGATGATTAAGGTACATGGACCCTTAAGGTCTTAGACATGAGAAGCTGCGCAGCCGCGGAGCGCGTAGAAAGCAGCCCCTGTTCGGACGGTCGCCGCTGCGCAGTTCAGCACATGCGTGACACCGAGTCGCTGCAGCGTCTGTCGGCAAGGGAAATTTTTGTTAAACCCATCAGAACCCTAAACTAAACTGTATTAGACCTAAACCATAAGCTCAACTATGTTAAACTATACGGTTCCGGGATGTGCTGGGACTTTCTTGCAAGACAGGGGAGATGGACCTACACACGAGGCAGCCCATTGCTCGAACCACTGCCTCATTGGACTCTGCACAGCACTTGCCAACAAAAAAGCCGGAAGATTTTCGTCAACATGCAGATCTGGAGCAACTCTCACAATCGCTGGCTCTCCCTAGCTCTTACATTCAGACCGCTACCCTCAAAACCAGCAGCCCCCAGCCTTCAGCCCTTAACACCTGTAGCGGCCTTAACGTCTCGAGCGTCGTCCTGGGAGCCCAGGAGTAGATGGGGCAGAATCTCCTGGCCGGACAACTCGCAGATCAATGCGTGGCCTGGAAAAGGGGCTTACTGCGCAAGACGATCATCACCATCAGGAGGAAGAGCAATGACAGAAGCACGCTTGGGTTCTCTCCATCATGAGGAACGTTGAAGCCGGCAGTGCTGCCATCACATCATCGTCTCAAGCATCATCATCATCATCATCAGCAGCAGCACCATAACCATCGTCATCATCACCATCATCATCATCATTAGCAGCAGCAGCAGCATTATCGCCCCGACCCTTTGCAATGACAACAGCAATGACAATGATGACAAGAATTGCCGAAGCGAGCC